ATATAAAAAAGGAAATGTTTAAGAAAATATTAAAAAAAGAGGGCATAAAGGAAAATATATTAAAAGCATACAAGCGCAATGGATAAAGACTTGAATAAGTTTAGCGGATAGATACAATGCAAGTGTACCTTATTACTTAGTAAACACAAAATTTTAAAATTATTACCAACTTAAGCAAGCATTTTCTAGTGGTACCATTTATATTTATACTCTTTATGAATATCTAGATTTAATCTAATTAATGAAATATATAAAATTTTATTTAAAAAATTATTAATTACTATATAAATAAACATATGAGTTAAAGATTCTACAAAATTATTTTATTCAACAACCATGTGATTAATTTTATATTTGTAGTTAATTTGAATGATGGAATTTTCTTATCCTACCTTTTCTCCCCTTCTATATGATTACATATAGTCAGAGAATTCTGACTCTGTTAAAACTCCAATTGTCATTATGGAAATCCAAAAGTATCTTTGGAATAATAAGTGCAATAAATTTTTGAAACGTACAAACACACACACACACACGCACATACATATATATATATATATATGAAGAAAGCTGCTGAATAATTGAAAGAAGAAATGGGAAACATGTGATAATATTGGGTAAGATGGAGTCAAAGGGAAAACAAGGAAGGTAAATAAAATGTTTTAATGCTAGAAATGACCCCAAAAATTGAAATAAAGCAAGAAATATATATATCAAGGAAGTTGGTAATAATAAGATCAAAGGATAATTACAAGCTAAGAAAGATAATTTTTGGATAATTAATTAAAAGGATAATTAATTACAAGCAACATAACCCAAACATAATTAATTAATTACCCAAAGTGAAAAAAAAAAGGCAATTAAATGAAAACAATAGGGAGAATAAGGATGATTCCTTAAGTAGTTGGTCTCTCCGTTTCATTATGTTAAGATTATTATTATTATTTTTTTTTAAAAATAATAATTATAATGTAGGGGAGCTAAGTTTATAATAATCTTAAGATCCTAAATTAACGTTAGGATTTAAGTAATATGAAATTTTAATCATAATAAATTATATGCTTCCAAACGTACGTATGTATTAAGAATATTTAAGCCTAAAGACTAGAAAGAGCCATTAGTAAAAGATTCCTGTTTCTTGCAGGAATAATTGGAAAGGGAAAGTGCCAAGAAAAGTTTTGACAAATGGCTTTACGATTGATATTTTCGCCGACATCAATTGCAGAAACAAAAAAAGAAAAACAAAGCAACAGAGTGCACGGTCCTAAGCTCGTTGTAAAATACTCTGTGGTTGCCAATTGTTTGGACGCGTAGTGGTTAGGTATTTTATGAAATCCGTATTACATGTTGAAGTGCATGGAGACAGGGCACATTAGGTCGGACACGCGCCGCAGTTAGTATCCTGGGAAAATTGGTGGAGGCGGCGACGCATACTGGAAGCCGATAGTTGGGGGGAGAATCACAACATCGTTTTCTGAGATTGGAGGTGCGGCGGGATAAGGATCACTAGGAGGCTGAAGCGATCGAGAAGGCGGCGGTGGAGATTGTACCAAAGGTGGTGACGGTGGTGGAGGAGAGGACAGGGGTGGTGGTGGAGACTCAACTAGCGGAGGAGGTGGTGGTGGTGACCGTTTCTCCGGTGATTCTGGCTCTATTGGTTGTTCCCTTGGGGTTTGAGGTTTCAAATTTGGTGATGATGACGATTTGGCACATTTTGATTTGCTACAATCAACCGGACGACTAACGACGGCCTTGCATTGCTTGTCCGATTTCTGATTAGTCTTGTCTGGTAAACAATTATTAGAATCATCAATGTCAATGTCTCCCCTCTTTCGTGGTTCACAAGCCTCAGCTTCCCCATTGAAGTAGTTGTGAGAGAAGGAAAAGTTCTTCAAGCTTATTAAACTGCAAAGTTCCTCAACGACGAATCCTGTTAAGTTATTACGGGCAATAGCTAATTCCTCAACCGTCTCAAGCCCCGCCAATGCCTTGGGCAATGGACCTGTGAATAAATTGTTCTCTATGTCAAATACCGTCAGGTTAGCGAGCATTCCAATTTCCGGCGGCAGACATCCTGTAAGAAAGTTATTGGAAAAAACGATCTCGTTCAAGGTACTACTCATTTTCCCGATGCTGCTCGGAATGCAGCCTGTGAAATTGTTGTTAGCAAAGACGATAACTGAGGCTTTGGATGATCCTAGGGTTTCAGGAATGGTGGACATGAAACGATTGTTATTCAAGAAAATGGCGTCAAAGTCCTTTTCGAAAACCTTGTCTGGTAATTCACCCTCAAAATTGTTGTATCTTAAATCAAGATACCTAAGGCTGCATATGGATAAAACACATTCTGGAAAGGGGCCAACCAAACGATTATTACTTACATCAAGCTCAAAGAGAAGTTTGAGATTGGAGAAACTCTTGGGCAAGATCCCACAAAACCTATTAGAGTTAACATGAAAGAGAGCAAGATCAGTTAATAGACCCAATTCGGAAGGAAAATGGCCGGAAATGTCAGCATTGTTGAGATCAATTCCGGCAACAACGTTTACATTTGGGTCGTCAAGAGCAGGAGCACAAAATACGCCATTGTAGGAACAAACATCGGGACCAACCCAATTTTTTGTTGTGTTGAAAGGATCTGAATAGATGGCTTCTTTCCAAGCTTGAAGAGCGATATAGGGGCCCTTAAGCCTGGGATTAGGGAATGATATATTGAGATTTAGGGTAGACACATAGTTATCGGGCAAGTCACCGTCGCGAAGAAGAGTAAAGAGCTGGCGAGGAGCAATGAAAGAGGCTTCGGCATTGGAGGGAGGCAGAGAAAAATACGATGAAAAAGAAGAAAAGAAAATGAGAAAAAGAAAGAAGAAGCAACCGGTGGCGCGCATGATTTTGGAGGGGTTGCAAAGACCAAACCTCCTCGGAGAGCCACAAGGCTGCTTATAGGAGCCAGTGCTGGCATGAGGGAATGTTTTATCAGGAGGGAAAGCCGGTTTTGTTGAATTAAATTTGAGAGGCTGGGCGATTCCTTGTGCAAATTTTGCAAAAATATCACGTGGTCTAAGTTTATTGGACGCTAATTACACAAATTCTGGAAGTGGTTTTAACTAAATTTGAAGATTGAACCGAATAGAAATGTTTATCCAATTACAAACCATCCAATGGGGCCTTATTT